CTAAAATTGTCCTTATTTTTCGTTTGATGGTATTAGTTCAGTCCCTTCGACTCCCAACGCTAGATAAAAATACTGATTTCTCTTTTCCAGGGATCGTTGCCATTTTTCAGAATTCTTATTAATCACACCTTCATTCATGTACTCTTCGTTTGTATCATGTATTAAACCTCAAATACTTTACGTTCACAAATAAACTACAATTATTATTAAATCTAACGTCCGTATATTCGTAAAATCTTAACGATGCAAATTGTCATATTCCTACCGTACACTTCGTCTAATTACTATTATCAGTAATTTCTCGTTACCGTATCACACGAGCAATACATTTGACAGACCGGTTCGCTTGAAGTTCCTCGAGATCTCGAGCTGGCTCGTAAATAAGCTACAATTATTATCAAACCTAACGTTCATATATTCGCAAAAACCTTAACGATGCAAATTGTTGTATTCCTATCGTACACTTCCGTCTAATTACTGTCATCAGTAACTCCTCGTTACCGTATCACTCGAGCACCATATATTTGACAGACCGGTTCACTTGAAATTCCTCGGGATTTCAGGCCGCCGGAAGGGTAACAAGCAGAACAACGACAGCAACCACACGGGCATGTTCAACGGGACCAGACCGCAGCGCTCGGTGATACCATCTGGCAAACGGAAGTGCGTCCAGGGCTGCCACTTCCGGTTAATCGAACGTTGCACTTGGCCGCAGTGTAATCACAGCTGCCCGAAGCTGCACAACCCGTTCACCGGCGAGGAGATGGACTTCATCGAGCTGTTGAAGAGCTTCGGCCTCGACATGAAGAGCGTGGCGAACGCGTTGGGCATCGATATACAAACGTTGAACAGCATGGACCACGACGAGCTTCTGAATCTCCTTACGCAACGAGCGAATTAACTCGGTTGCATTAAGTAAGAGATATTCCATCCAATGAAACAACGTTTAGGAAGATCACGTTCCCCCGTTGGTTTTGCGTACAGCCAGAGATAAAGTAGGACATTTGATCTTTGTATCTGATCGATTGCTGCTGCTATTCCTTTCTTCGTCTTTCTGCTCGTTCTTCCGATAGAACGGAGAGATAGTTTCCTCGGAGGGAATCTTCGAAGGGGAAAGAATTGTGTATTTAGAAAGAAAAGAGACTTACCTTTTACATTTGAGACACTTGGGAGTATTTTCGAAACCTCGTCCGAGGTTCCAAATGCGTAATAATAGAAAAAAGAAGAGTATTTCGAGCGGAGATGAACCAAATTGTGTGTACATAATTTGTTAGAGTTTTAACGCGATACTCGATCGAGGTTTCACGATCGTGTTCGCCTTCCAGCAAGCTACTTAATTTAATTAGCGTCCGATTTTAGTTCAATTGGACACCCGAGAAATCAACGAGAATTCTTCTTCTTTTTATTTTTTTTTAATAATTCCCGTCGTGTTCGTTTGTATTATGTGAAGCGTACGTTTCACACACCGCCCTCGCGAGTAACCGAAGTATCTTAATTTATTCGATAGGTTTTAGGCGAAGTTTAAACGGGCATATAATCATGTTGTTAACGAATTAATTCAGTTCGTGGTGATTCGTTCGCCGTCGAGAGAACGAAACGCTGATCAGCCATGAGGCTTCACTTCCGACTTACCAAAACGTCCTTCCCTCTTCAACGTTTGTACCTGGTCAAATAGAGAACAGCATATTCGCAGAACGTTGTAACATCTTGTTCACATGTATCGTTTTTAACAGACAGGTCAAAAAATTCCCATCCGCAACTTCTGCAGAATATTTATCTTTACGTTCCGAACGTTTTTTTGATCTGTCCAAGAAGAACAGAAAATTCTTTCGTTTTTTCCGCTTTGCTTACCAAAGAGAAGAAGCTTTCTTTTTTTTTTAATTTTGTTTTTAATGGAACGACAAAAGAATGCCCGCTTCTTTTTCTTCAAATTTCGTTCAAATGCGATCGAAGCTCGAACGGTAAGCAACGGAATTTTCGATGAAATCGATCCATTTTACGCGTACACGTACTTGAGAAGTTCTGGATTCGAAATGTTCAGTATTAACACTGCCGGCTTATGGTCGTCGCGTTCGATGTCCGCCGGAGCTTGAACGAGGCAAATTAAGTCGAAACGTTCAGCTCGATTCAATAGAACGCGCCGGAACCGAGTTTTGCGAATTGATGCCAATAACGAGCAAACCGACCGACAAAGCAGCTTCATAGACTGATTAAATTATCTACCTCAACGAATCAAATCGTATTAACGTCCTTCTGTGTACTATAAACGTCGATTAGAAGAGTTTAACGCGAAACAAGAGTAATTAATGTGGGTTAACGCGAGGTCTCTCTCGCGCACGCTTAAACCACGCGTCGTTGTATCTAATTGTATCCAACCACTGTAATATACTTGTCGAAGTAATTAATTATTTATTGAACGCGACAGAAGTAGGTTTCACGCGACGATCGGAGAGGAAACGAAGATTATCCCGGGAGTTTAATTTATTTTTCACGCAGCGGGATCTATAGTTCGATCGCGATGCTCCTCGACTCTCTTCGCCTCTCTTTCTCTCTCTCTCTCTCTCTCTCCCTCTCTTACGTCCGTGCAGGAGAACATTGTTATTTTGTATTCGCGTGAAATTTGTAAATAAATTGTATATCTGTTGTACTAAACGAATCGCAGAGAGTAATGTTATTTTACCATTTGCATTCATCATTATCGATCACGATGGAATAGTTTCTTTCTTACATCGAGTATCCCGGCAATTTTCAAATCCCTTTTTAATTAATAAAAATTCACAGAATTGAAGAGTTAATTTTCAATTAGCACCGAATCAATGTTAAAGCTGACCTTATCGCAAACCTCGATCAGACAGATCGTACAACCTCGCTACATCTCTTCCACCGACTATACCTCACATTTAAAAGGGCAATCTACGAAATCGTCGGAACAGCGTCCCCATCCTCGCTGATCACTCCAATTAACGAGGGACAATTAAGTTACCCTAATTACGTCTCCACAATTTCTGTCCCCGGAGCTAATCCGCAAACACATGTCAGAGAGCATAAACAATATCGGGGGAATCGCGTCGCTTCAATATCCCAGCAGCGAAATGATCTGTCTGCTGGGTGAGCGACACGGATCGAACACGGGTGTGGATCGTTGGAACAGTCGGTGGTTGGCAAACATCATCGAACGTAGAGTAACGATAAATCGAGTCGCCTCGTTGGCTGCACCTGTACCTAATCATCATCCTGTTAGCTCTCACGAGTCCCGTCGGTCCTCCTACCTCCTCCCTCCTGCCCTCCCCTTCCCGTGGCCGCTTGTTCAGCCACGAGCGAGGGTGATAATTCAATGTAGAATCAGAATCCGTCCCCCAACCCCGGGTCTAGCTTGGATCCGTCGTTGCTCTCCGATCCTCTCCTGCTAGCTAGCTAGCCCTCCCGCCCGTAGTCGTTGTCTCGAAACTATATATTCCACGGCATACGCAGGAAATGGTGTTTAATGCCGACGGGTCAGACCGGGTCTGACCCCCGGTGGTTCGACGACAGTCGATAGGATGAGGCGAACGACGAACAGAGAAAAAACACTGGTGTACGATCGAACGTGCGACGAGGACAGCCAGCTACCAGGTCCCCACCGGAGCAATTGACGTGTCCGAGGAAGTGATGGAAGGATGGCACAATGTGCTTGAATGTCCCATAAGCGAGCGCGGGTTCTATATTAAACTGGTCCGGTTACGGGTCGTTCGGTTGTCTATCGTTCAGTCACTGGACTGTCTCCAGACGGCCGGATCAGTTGGCCTAGCAGGATAACGCGCAATCGATCCCACTTTCTCCGTGGTTCCTATCTTCCTTCCAGTGGTTTTACTTGGTATACACGAATCGTGTTGCGGGTCGATACTGTTTTCGTTACCGTTTGCTTGCCGCGTGGATCACACGGACGATGCGCCGATCGAGCGGTTCGCGATCTCCTTGAAGGATCCAAGAGGGGAAGACGACGCGAGAGACACGGCGACGGTTCCGTCGACGGACAAACAAGCGCGACTCGAATGCTCGATCGGCCGTCGAGGAAGAAGGAGAACCAGGAATCGTGAGGGACTCCTGGCGATCGCGGAGTGCAAGCGCGACGTGTAAGTGTATCGCTGTTTGAATAACGTTGCTTTTCTGTCTTTTCTCGTTGGTTTCGTTGCTCTGTCGCGTTGATTTTCTTCGTTCGAGTGGGATTTGATTTTATTTAGTAGTTTCACGGTCGAAATTCATTGGAAATAGTAAAGTTGTGGTCGGTTGGAAATTGTTATTAATATTTCGAACGTATGAAATAGTTCTATTCTGAAATGCTACTCTGTGCGAATTTTCAAATTCAACACGCAACGCAGTTGATCAACTCTAAATCTTATATTTTTAAAAAATGCCAAAACACTTCTGCTCATCAGACATTGCTCAATTTTCACCCAGAGTACAGCTGAGCTAAGCAAAATACGAGTAGCATTCCACGATTAAAATCGCAGATTCGACCAATTCTTTTTAGCGACAGAATATTTTTGTTGAAACGATAGGTAAATCTTGGACGTGCTTGGACAAAGTAGCATTGCTCGATGATGCTGAAGGGAGTAATATTGCTATTCCTTCACTTGTTCTGCGACATCGGTGAGCGGCAATCTTTAATTAACCCAGAAGTCTCGCGTTTCCCTCTTCGCGTTGCATCCGAAAATGAAAATTGCTGAAAACGTTGCCCGTGAATTTCAGCATTGGCAGCTCAATGCGGAAAAGTATGGCTGACAGTCTCCTCGTTGTGGAGACCAATCGCTGCTAGCGACAAAGTCATCGACGCTGAGCTCGAAGTAAATTGGGATCTCGATTGTCCATCGAGCACAGGATACCCAGATACCATCAAGGTGTTCACTGCTGACCCAGCACATAGTAATAAGTTTTGTTTGCTTCTCTTGAACGTCGTATCTCGAACAATTTTTACATGTACAGCTCCACTGCATTTCAATCGTTTTCATTTCAATTCGAATGGGATCAAATTTTTTTTCAAACACTTTGAAATTGTTTAAGAAAAGAAATCTTTGTGTTTATTCAAAAGAAGACGCTGCACGAAGCATTCAAGCGAACATAAGCGTGTTATATTTTCTCTTCAATCTCATTTGAAGTTTAAGAATGAAAAGTAACGATATCGATATTGGATCGACATCGTGCTTCCAGACAAAACGGTGAAACCAAAGCTGATTTTGACCTCGCTGCAACACCCGAGAGGTTATTATCGAACGAATATCACGGTTGGTCGTCCACCGTTTCCCGGTGGATGGGACACCAAGGATGGCGCGACGCTTCCTGGCCCACATTGCCTGAAACACCATGCTGCTCTCTATAAGGACGGGTCAATCCTCACTAGCTCGTGTTTGCAGATCTGGCCTACGTGGATGTACGATTTGAGGTAGTGCATTACTTTTTTTTAGCTTCAATTTCCATAGAGATTATATATTTTTTTTTTTGTCTAATTTATTCTCCCCTTTAAAATACTTTTATTGCAATAAAATGTGACGATTTTTAATTATTCAATTATTCTTTGAAAAAATAACATCTTCCTAATCGCAGTATCAATCGTTATACCAACAAAGATGTAACTGATTAAATTCGAGCAAATCGGGCAATAATAGAGAATTTTCCAACTAGATTGAAAAAATCCAGTTGGAAACTATTCTTCCCGAAAGCTGCATTAAACAGTTTATTCTTTAATCAAAGTGTTTCCTTTCAATTCAATTTTAGCATCTCACAGTGGCTCTCTGAAAATTTGACGCTTTTAAAAATAATTTCCGTATATTTCCTGAATATTTTTTTCCTATTCTGCTCAGGCGACAATTAGGGAGGCTTCCAATAGGTAGCCTAATGATCCCCGGGACGCATAATTCCGGATGCTATAAACACGGTGACCTAACGAGGCGAGATGCGTTTCAAAGATACCTGTTAACGCAGGACCGCGATGTGTGGACGCAATTAGTGCACGGTATAAGGTATTTGGACATCAGGGTTGGTTATTACCCGTCGATTCCAAACGGGACCGTTATCGAGGAGGGCAACCATATAAGCAGATTCTGGATCAATCACGATGTCATCCGGATTACCCCTCTATCCACGATCATCAAAGACGTGAGAAACTTTCTAAACGTAGCTAGGGGAGAGGTGGTCATCATGGACTTTCATAGGTAAATTGACGATATGGAATGATATAGTAGTGACGATTTGCGTATCGATAATGCTGCGAGAATGAGGTTACTCTCCGTCCGTTGCATTCATTTCGAATGATTATGAAATTAAGCGCAATGGGTCGCGATATGTGTCGAGGTTAATAGTGTATATTTATCAATTGAGAGCAATATTTCTTTTTTCGAGATAAATTTCGTAGATATTCGTCGAACAGAGACTGATGTTTCAATGTTTAAAACGGTAGTGTTAGTTTGTATTAGCGTGATACAATAGCCATAAATTATCATGAAAACAAGATAATACGTATACTCAGCGTGAAATTATGTTGCTTGTAGATTTCCCGTGGGATTCGAGGGTAGGCCAAGTAGGCATCGCCGATTGGCCATGATCCTCTTACGAGAATTCGAAGGTCTGATCCTGAAACCAGATAGAGGGGTCGAAGGTCTGGGTCCGACCTTGAATGATATTTGGACCGGAGGGAAACGCTTGATAATTTGTTACGGCGACAAGCACACCGTGAATGGTAAATTTATTATCAGTTTACCGTGCAATCAAATTGTTCACTTGAACACCGTGATTTATTGGTACTTTCACGGAGAGCGGTGAAACCTTGCTTTCCTATAATAATCCTTAAATTTGCGTAGCGTCAATTATTTAGAAAAACTGCACAAAGGTAAAAATGACAAAATGGAGAAATCGAATATATAATTAAAGATAATACTGAAACGTTCGTTCTATTTTCGTTCAATTTATGCTGCATAATTTCGCGAGTTCACTACTAAAACACAAGAGTACGTACTCGATACTAAAATCTTCGGGACTAAAATTTGAATACTACTTAAATTCCAATTAATTTGAACGAGTGAACAACACTGTACTGTCGATAGTATAATTTAAAAAAAAACTCAATTTAAAATTCCTGTCACAGATCCAGAATAAATGACTTAATTTAACGCAAAAATCCTTTCACAAGTTTTCCTCATTTTTCGACTTACAGTGTACCCATAATTTGTCATTTTTCCTTGGATTTTCCAACGGAAACTGTGTTTCATCTTTACTTCACCAACCGCAGCCAGAAATCGGCTTGATTTCAGAGTACGACTGGCTATGGCCGACGATGTCCCAGGCCTGGGGCAACCAGCAGACGGTGGAGGGGTTGTTCAAGTATCTAGACAAAGTCATCATGAGCCCGAAGAAGACCAGGAACAGCCAGAACCCGCTGTGGGCGGTGATGGCGGAGTTGACGCCGTATCCGTTGGACATAATCTTCAATTTAGCTGGCGGGCTGCGACAGATGGCTGACTCCGTGAACAGAAATCTCACGTACAAGTTCCAGGAGGAATGGTGGAAAGAAACGAACATCGTCGCGACGGATTTCTTCCTTGGAAATAATCTGATCGACGTGTCGATACAGGCGAACATCAAGAAGAGCAATATCGCCCAGTGGCGCTTGTAACTCGCATACACTTCTACCAGGATTTCACTTTTAATTAGATGCTGCTTTGTCGGCGAAAGAGGAAACCGCGAAAGATGAACCCCTTTGATCGTTTAATTCGTTGCGAATAGAAAATCTGTCGATTCGATATCTTCTTCTCCGTTCGATCTGAATTTGCTTGGTTCGATAAGAAAAACGTGTATTCTTGAATTTCCGCGAGAAACGGTAGGAAAAGATAGAAATGCTTTAGGAGTATCAAAAGATAGGATCGACGATCATTTTCACCGGAGTAACTGTGAATTTACAGATTCGATAGATCGGTCGTGATAAAGAATCTTAGAGTAAAATAATATGTAAATTAAAAAAACTCCTTGACACGAGAGTATCAATACATGTACCAGTAAAAAAGAAACACACACACACATTTCTTCTCCTCCTATTTTTTCCTCCGATTTCGAAGCTAGCTCGAAGAATAAAATTCCTCCACAGCAGTCGCGTGAATCTCACAAGGTATCACACTCTCGTTTCTCCATTCATCCTGAAACACGTGCACTCTCGAAAACTCGAAACATCACGGTTCCATTTTAACATCGAAAAGAACTTCATAAACTCGCGACATTTCTCAGTATCGGCACGAGCTCTCTCTCGCTCTACTCGATTCAACGACGAGACCTTTTCAACCGCGTTCTCCACACTTCCGGGACTTTTTAACGCTGGCCTTTTTCCCAGTTTGAAAAATAAACGAGCCCGTTCGAAACAAATGCCGCGACGTTTCCTAAAACGTGCTCGAGCCTCGGTGGATCGGCGTGGCGCGCGACCATTTGACTTCCAAATGGGGCTGTGGGACGCGAGATCACGTTCGAGACACCGGTTTTCGAGGTAGTCAGTCGTCTGGTAGCAGCGAACGACAACGAATCGATGCGAAGTGAATTTTAACGCGGCCCAGCTCCACCGGCAGATTCGACTTTTCTCTCGAGCACTCGCGCCGCCAACTTTCTAACACGCCTCGAGCTTCGATTCGCTCGTGTTGTACGTATTTCTTTCTCTTTTTCTTATTTTTCTCTTATAGATTCTTCTCGCTTTTTCTCTCTTTCTGCCTTTGTCTTATTCTCTCTCTCTCTCTCTGGTGTTGTTTGGCCGACGCGGTTGCCGCATTATCGCGACGTTGATAAATGGTCCTTCTCATTCTCACCAAGATCGAGAATGGCGCACGCAACGAGGCGAAAGAAATGTTAAGGAAACGACGAGTTGCGCCGGCTATTCTTCGCGTTTTTCTTCCCGATACGAGACCAGCCGGCCAGCCAGCGTGAAACAATGGAGAACAATCTTGTGAACGAGGCGAGAGAGCTGTGGGCCGTTTACGCCTGGTGGTCGTGCGTTCTCGTTCTCAAGATGAACGCCCTGACATGGTTCACTGGGCGAATTCGAGTAGCTAGACAGGTAAAATGGTTCTTTATTTCCATTCTGTTTCAACAGGATTCTCTGACTTTTTCGGGATTGGTGGTAAACTTGTTCGGGGATGTTGAAGAATTAAATTCGTAGTATCTTGTTTATGCTTGAGGGTTCATATGAGTGTGAAACTGTCGCGAGTTGCTCTCGAGAGACGAATTTATCTGTGTACGATATTGAGAGAGCTGGACGTACAATCTGAGAGTATTCTCGTGAGCAACTATCGTAAAAATCTCTGAAGCAACTAACAAAAGGACGTCTCTAAGTGATAATCACCGACGTTGATGAAACTTTGGTATACCATAGTACTCAAAAAAATAATCGACACGTATTCTTTTTTATCGACAATCGTCAATATCGAAGGGGTAGTAAGGATGCTTGAAGAATGGTATAAGTTGACAAATTCTGTAGACTTCGTTCGTCACCTAATTTAAATTCGTTCACACTTTCTACTTGCAATCGACGCCAAAGAATACACACACTTGAGGTCCACTGCTATCTTCCAATGTTATCTTTAGCTTTCCTTATCAGAAGTATTTAACTTTACGCGAAGACCTTCTCGAGCAAGTTGAAGCAGAAAATACTTCAACGGTGCAATTATTTACATTAACACGTCATTTATCTCGACGCACACGGAATCGCCGGCATTCTCAACACTTTACCATCCGCTAGTCTATGAAACGGACGTACAGCACTATCGATCGACTCATTTAAGTGCGATTACGCTGCTGGTGTAGCCTCGGTTTTGTCCGTAGTTCGATAATTTGCATACGCATTCATAAAGTTCTACAATATTTACATGAAAAGGAAAAGAAAAGCTTGTAATCATTTGTATTACCAATGTAACGTTAATTTTCTTGAAAAAAGTCGGTAAATCTCCTTAACTACTCCTTTTCGCGCGAAACTATATTTCAAACAAAAAATTAAATTCATTTTTAAATTCGCCTCTCGGTGACAAATTTTTCTCATCTCATAAAAATCGAACGAGATTTAAAATTCGCTAATTGTTTTTCGCGTTAACGTTTATAATAGTTTCGTTATTTAGAATGCTAAATTTCGTTAGAATTTTAAACCCGTGTCTCTCGGTGACAAATTCTTCTCACCGCATAAAAAACGAACGATGTCTTGTACACCTATCCCCCGATTTACACCGTACTTTATTTACACGATTTCACTTTTACACGGTTTTCAAAATAACGGCTCTTCAGAAATATAAACGGTTAAAAATAAAAGTTTATGCTGCGCACATATTTGTACAGTCATTTTTTAGTACCGTTCGTTTGTTAACACTGGCATTAATCCAAAAAATGAACGGAATTTCCCCCTTTTTTGCAGACAAAAAGCATTCATTTGCTGCCGCCGCGGATCTTTCATTGGCGACCGGCTATTTTCGCCTTCATCGATCGCTCTCTCGAAACTAAACCCTGACCCTGAATATTTTTTGTTTTATTTTACTTTTATTTTACATTTAAAATAATGAATTTAATTCAATCACCGACTAAATTATGCGCATTTTCTTTTTTCCCCGATTTACACGGTTTTTCATACAAAAAGCCATGATTTCGATTTACACGGTATTCTGAGGAACCGATCATCCGTGTAAATCGGGGGACAGGTGTATGTTCAATATTTAGAATTGGCTGGTTTCGAATGATTTTCGCAGGTGATCCACAGCGAGGAGGACAGAATGTGGTTGAAAGGTCCCGATATAATTTTATGCCCAACTGGAGGCGGCCACGAGGACGTGGATCGCATTCGAAGCGCGCATCGGCACGATCTTGAAACTGTACTCCCTTATCTCCTAATTACACCGATATGGCTGAGCACGTCACCGTTGTTTCCTCTGGCCAGAGCGATTCTGCCCGGTTTCGCAATAGTCAGCGTATCATACACGTTGCTGCACATGAAAATCGCGAACCTGCACCACCGTTATTGCAAAACAATCCTGTCTGTTTTCCAGCACACCGTCTTGATTTCCATGTCGGCCGTATCCGTCCTCCATTACGCGTTCTCAACCGTGCGCCAATAAGTTTGCGCGTTTGTTTCTTATAGTTATCGAAATGCAGCCGTTGCATTTTGATAAGATAAGCACGGCCGGTACTGCGCGTTTCGCGTGCGCCAGTGTAAGCAGTAAAAGTTAATGTTATCTTCTGTGTAATAGAAACTTTTGTAATAAAATTTCCATGCGAGAGAATAAATTTTATGGATTTTAGAAATTCTCCGGCGCTCCGTGGAATCTCGCGAAAATTGCAATTTCTTGGTGGCTCGAGCGTTTACTCGAGGTTTTAGTAAAAGGAAATGAGAACGAATGTGTGAAAGGATTAAAGTAAAAACGCTGAATTTATCTTTTCTACCTTTCATTTCGAAAATTCAATCCTAAAATGATCGAAATACAATACAAAAGATTGCAATTTTGTGGTCGAAATATTCGCACGGGTTTATTTGAATTTTTAGCAAAAGGAAATGGGAACGGATTTGTAAAAGGATTAAAATGAAACCGTTAAATTAATTTTCTCTACGTTTTATTTTCACGACTAAGTGTACATTTACCATAATCATCGATCTTTTAATAAACGCCGACGATGGCAGGAAAAAGTTGTTGTTTCCGCGAAGAACACCTTACTTCTGATGACTTGAAGTTATTCGTCTCACGTCACAGTAGTAACACGTACTTATCCTCGTGATCAATTCATCTTCGATAACACGCATTATCGACAGTAAACCAGTACCGAAAAGAAAAAATCTGGTCTGCGATACATTGGAAATTCGAAAGCAACGAAACTCTCGTCTAACACATCTTCCTCATTTTCTCCGCGAAAAAGAAACGCACACGTATGTAGATAAAATCTGAAGAAATACTCGAGTAGGATGCGCGTTACGCAACGCTCGTTAAAGAAGCAAATGTTCAGTTGGTTCTGTCCACAACTGCTCGTTACATATCGCTGCAACTATCAATTTCGCGTTCTTGACCAGTTCACCAACCATCCGGCGTCTTGTTTTCATTTTCTTCTCTCGACGTGTCGATAAACATCGGATAAAAACAGACGACGGTCGTTGGTGAAACGAGCCAAGATGAAAATCGTTCGTCTCGATTCATTAAGATCGTAAACGAAGACGAGACACGACATTGTCCGAGCACCCTTCTGATTCCCGATTCATAATTACACATGAAAGAAACCGCAAAAGAAATTAATTGTACTCATTATTTCTGTTGCATAGTAGCCCGATGATGTATCACGCCGATGATCATGCCTATCCGAGTTTCGATCGTGAACTGAGCGTACTAAACGCGGACATCGTCGATGCTGTATCTTCATTATCATTGGATTTAATTGATAAGTATTTAGCTTCGATAGATTACGACGTGTCCCCTGCGTTATGTCTTTGAGGTCAATAGTCAGTTATTAAGTTAATTTTAAGTGCGACTTGTGCAGATTCGTAGAGCTAAGCGAAGTAGTAGTGTTTCGTTTGCCATTGGAGCACGGTGATTCTTCGAGCCATCGATTTCTATCGAAATCGAATCGAATCGAATCTCAGGTAATTTTTACTATTTCTTTTTGTAACCTGCATGACATGTGGAAAATGTAATATGTTCGTTATGTAAAATCGTGTATTTCTTGGTTTTATATACGTTCCCTTTGTTACAACAAAGTCATATATACTTCGCAATATTGTCGATAATTCTGTGAAATTTTTTGTTGATATTTGACGCATGCTTCTTGGAACAATCGATCATTTTACGAATGATCAACGAGTAAAAATAGACTGAAAATAGTGGTTACAGGGAAGAGCTCCGAAAACTGGTTAAAATGTTAATGTATTCGGAACCAGTGTACGTCAATCTCGGGTATTACAAATATGGGAAAGGAAATAAATGCGCATTTGAGTTCGATCATTTAGGGACTTGGCACACATTTGTTTCTCTCTGTAGATGGACGAATAAAGTAGTAAAGCAACGCAGGTAGAATAACTTTTTCAACGTACTTACGTTTTACATTGAACATCGAAGCCTGTGTGATTCATAAATTCCATTACCCGCTTTTATGATAGTTTACATTAGACGATGGTTACGCGCGCTGATAACGCAATGTCTGCCGGGCGTAATCTGATGCAGCGAAACGTGTGATAAGCGGAGAGAAGTGTCGCGATGGAGAGTGACAGTCGATTGTTCGCAGAGTTGGACAAAAGTTCCGTGCACAGGCTTCTTCAAATGGAGTTATTCGTCTTCGACTGCATGTTCTTCTTTACGTTCCTATATCTATTTGTGTACTTAATCGGTCGTCAGATTTAGAGGTTAGGTGGCCACTGTCCTTCACCCGTTGCGAAGGACTGTAACCAAGACAGCGAATCGTATTGCTTCGCATTGCAAAATCGAATCTTCTTTCCTCATAGTTTACTGTCCGCGTTTACGTGAAACGCGCGTAAAATTCAACCATGAGACGAAGAGCTACAATGGTGCTGTAATTAAGTTTCAGTGTCGAAAAGATGGAAATAGAGGAGAGAATCATTCGTAAACGAAGTATACGCAGCTATCTGCAAAGTGTGCCGCAACGTTGGTCAGAAATAGTCGAACATTTCTTTTATCAGTAAGTTTGACACTCTGGTCGCTATGGAACGTGAGAATTCTATTCGCTCACATCGTTGGTTGTCGTGTGTTTTTTCAGACTTGGTCTAAAAATTGCTCGACGACCGTTGAAATGGCTCATTGGAAGTACTGTGATAGTGTTAATTTCCCTTTCTGGTTTATATTGCTTTCGTCAGGAGAAAAATCCTGTGAGATTATGGGTTCCACAGAATTCAGATTTTGTTCATGACACAGAATGGATGTTTGAACAGTTTGGACAGGGATTGAGAATGGAAGGTATGATACTGACAGCTAACAATGTCTTGGAACCGGAAGCTCTTGCCAGGGTAGCTATGAGTATTTTGTTACATCTATTCCAACAGAAATACAGAGTTTGTGCATAATATACATTTTAGCTTGTTTGAATCATTTCAGTTGAATGAAATAACCAAGCAGGTTATTTCTACTCAAACTCCTGATCAAATTACGTGGACAGATGTATGTTTCAAGTAAGCATTCTTCTGTACATGTTATCAAATATGCTTTATTTTATGGATACCATAAAATATGCCAAAAAGAAATAAAAACTAATTTCTTTGTGTTTAATGCACAGAGTGCCTGTCATATCAGGTATTGTACATAGAAAAAAACGCAGCCATCAACTTGATAATTTCTTTGACATTGAACCTGAGGTACAAATTAATAGTACTAAGTTTGAACCTGCAGTTCATGCTGATTCTGAACTCTATTGTAATATAGTCAACAACTTGCCAAAAGCTTGCCTTTTAAATAGTATCTTGGATATATGGGAATATGATACTAATGCAATTCTTCAAAAAACTACAGAGGAGATTGTCAAGGATGTAAATACAGCAAAAGTGAGCCCCACTTTGGGTCATCCACTAAACTTTACAGAATTACTGGGTGGCATAACAAAAGATGAAAAGGGTAGAATTATCTCAGCTAGAGCTGTAAAAACACAATGGGCAGTTTATATAAATCTTTCAGAAGTGGATATGAATAATTATGGCAACGATGTTGGAACTGCTGATTGGGTAAGGTAAGTTTATAAAAAGGCCTGAATCATGATTTACATATAAGTTATATAATGAAAAAATATTTTATGGAAATGTTATTGATTGATACATGATGTATACCGTGTAATTTATGTAATGCATGTTTCAAATGTTTCATATGATTTAGGCCTTACTTTACTTTTAAAGTGATTTTGTCAAGATTAATTTCGAAATGTTGTTTTTATGGATAAATAATTCGTTTATCTATAATATATGTATACTAGATGTACATTTCTCAAATATTTCAGAATAAACGTTTATTTCTCCTTCTAATATGTCAAGTTTCAGCAGTTGCATTTATATTTCATTTTCTTGATGTATTATGAAAAATATAACCCATAATATTTCGGATAAAGTGAAGTTTTCACTTATAGGCAACAGATGATGTACTAAAGTGGGAACTTGCTTACTTAAATGTATTAAACAAAAATGCGAGGTTATTAAATAATAAGAAAGATGCAAATCATACATTATCCCTTTTGTATGAAGCTGGTAGAAGCTTCGGAGATGTTACTTTTGTAACAATGTTCGGAAATATTGATATATTATCAATAGGATTCATTTTGATGTTCTTCTACGTTCTAGTCATATTTTCGGATTACAATTGGGTGGGATGGAGAGTAAGTTATGACTTAATAATCACATAAAGTACTTGTAAAATCTCAATTAGAATGGGAAATTTTTCACTTGAAAAATTCTACCAAAATTTCACTACAATAGTACACAATACCAACATGTTTGCACATTCATTTGCATTTTATATCATTTTCTATAGGTCTATCTCACTGTTGTCGGTCTTTTGTGCGTCGGTGGTGCTTTTATAGTTTCAATCAGTGTATGTTCCGTTCTTGGAATCCCATACGGACCTGTACATACTTCTTTACCATTTTTATTATTGGCTCTCGGAGTAGACGATAATTTTTTGATAATGGCTTCTTGGAAAGAAATACATGCACACAATTAAAACAAAAAAAAGCCACTAGAGGAGAGAGTAGCTCTAATGTTAGGACATGCAGGCTCAGCTATTAGTATTACTTCTCTTACCGATGTTGTTGCGTTTATTATCGGTGCTTCTACAGTAAGATTAACTTTATACTTTATTTAATATAATATAGCGAAACAGATAAATGAAGTATTGTCAAATTTCATATACTACAATGTCACACGTATTTCTAGATATTACCATCGCTTCAATCATTCTGTATATACGCGGCGTTTGGAGTACTACTGACGTTTTTATTTCAAATCACGTTTTACGTTGCCTTTTTTTCCATCGATGCTCGACGAATCGAGAATAAAAGAAACTCGTTACTGCCGTGCATCGTTCATGAAAATTTCACACAAAAATTCATCAGTCCACAAGAAGAACTTCCCGCAAAGTTGATAACCAAATTGTATTCAAACGTGGTTCTAACGATGCCCGGAAAAATATTGATAGTATTAATAACAATAGTTACAGCGTCGGCTGGAATTGTGGGCTTGTTGCAATTGCAACAATGGTTCGATCCAGCCTGGTTTATACCAAGCCATTCGTATCTAAGCAAATATATCAACGTACGTCGCGACGAATATCCAGAACATGGTTACGAAGCGATGATTCTTATGGGAGATTTCAACTATACAGCGGAATTTCCAAAATTGCTAAATCTCGTGGATAGATTCACGAATTTATCAACCATACAAAGCATACATCCTTGGCCCCAGGATTTCACGAAATTCGTCTGGGACTACTATCGAAGAGGTCAACGATCATTCTTTAACATTGCAATATTAATTTCCCCGTAACAATTGTCAAGTGAATTGACGAATGACATTTTTATTTTTTTTTAATCAACAGACTTGAAAAATACAATACTCGAGGATACGGAATTTCGCCATTATTTATCCAAGTTCTTGTTCAGTCGAAACGGTGGCAAATATCAGAGGAACTTCCGTTTCAAAGGAGATTTAACGTGCGGCGAAAATACTCCGGCGATTTTAGTAACTACCATAGATTTTCTTTTCAAACGATTTCACGGTCCGCATCAGTGGATTCCAGCTATGGACGACAGCAAGCAAGCGACGAAGGACGTTGGAATCGACGGTTTTGTCACTGTTTGGAGCGAAGTGTTCAGCTTATGGGTAACCGACAAACTCATCGCGCAGGAAGTTCAGCGAAACGTTTTATTGGCGTTATTTTGCGTGATGGGAATGACAGGATTGTTGATCGCCGAATTACAAACTTGCTTCTGGATCTTCTTGTGTGTACTCCTCACACTTTTGAACGTCTGTGGATTCATGTATTTTTGGGGCTTGACGATAGACATTGCGTCTTGTATCGGTGCGTGATACACTTCTTCGCAACAAGAATTTGAATTCTACTTTAATTTTGCAAAGCTGCTTTATCGTTCAATTTTTTTTTTTTCCAAGGTTTGGAACTTGGCATTGGATTATGCGTGGACTATGCAGCTCATGTTGCACATGCATTCATAAATGCTGCATCTGAAAGAGGAAGCGAAGATCGTACAAGAAGAGCACACGTTGCGGTGAGATACATTGGTGCTGCAGTTGCATACGGTGCCGGTTCGACGTTGCTCGCGCTCTCTATGATGGCGTTTTCGGAGAGTTATGTGTTTCATGCATTTCTGAAGATTTTCATCTTGGTGATACTGTTCGGTCTCTGGCATGGATTATTCCTTCTGCCTGTGATATTGAGCACAATCGGACCGCGAAGTCTACGATCGCATACAGTACCCCCTCAATCACCTGAGAAAGTCGAGGACGCAGGTGACAATGTGACGAGTCCGTTGAACAAAGAAACGGAAAGTTAAAGAGAACGCCTACGATGATTCTTTATCAATAATATTTATTTTTGGTTCAATAAACATACAAAATTATTACACTATCCGTACTATTAATTTAAGATTAAAAAAAAAATTACAAAATAATGTAGCAAGGTTGATATAGATTTATTAATAATAATTATTGATCGGAAAGGAACATGACTATTATAAACGTAACGTAATCGTGTTTGCTGGATGCGTTATCTTTTTTTCTTTTCTTCATTTGTATGTATAATCATAATTAATGTTTATGACGTAAAAATGAGCGGCGAGGGAGCGACCCCGGATTGATTGGCAAGCTCCCTCCGCTGCCTCTCTCAGTCTTGCACAGTCCACGAACAATCATGCAAATCTTTCAATTTTTTTTTTCCAAGGTTTGGAACTTGGCATTGGATTATGCGTGGACTATGCAGCTCATGTTGCACATGCATTCATAAATGCTGCATCTGAAAGAGGAAGCGAAGATCGTACAAGAAGAGCACACGTTGCGGTGAGATACATTGGTGCTGCAGTTGCATACGGTGCCGGTTCGACGTTGCTCGCGCTCTCTATGATGGCGTTTTCGGAGAGTTATGTGTTTCATGCATTTCTGAAGATTTTCATCTTGGTGATACTGTTCGGTCTCTGGCATGGATTATTCCTTCTGCCTGTGATATTGAGCACAATCGGACCGCGAAGTCTACGATCGCATACAGTACCCCCTCAATCACCTGAGAAAGTCGAGGACGCAGGTGACAATGTGACGAGTCCGTTGAACAAAGAAACGGAAAGTTAAAGAGAACGCCTACGATGATTCTTTATCAATAATATTTATTTTTGGTTCAATAAACATACAAAATTATTACACTATCCGTACTATTAATCACACATTTATAAAAAAATAATAATAATAATATATTAAGATTAAAAAAAAAATTACAAAATAATGTAGCAAGGTTGATATAGATTTATTAATAATAATTATTGATCGGAAAGGAACATGACTATTATAAACGTAACGTAATCGTGTTTGCTGGATGCGTTATCTTTTTTTCTTTTCTTCATTTGTATGTATAATCATAATTAATGTTTATGACGTAAAAATGAGCGGCGAGGGAGCGACCCCGGATTGATTGGCAAGCTCCCTCCGCTGCCTCTCTCAGTCTTGCACAGTCCACGAACAATCATGCAAATCTTTCATTCGAATGATCCTATCATACTCGGTCTTCTTTATTTGTCATCTCTCTCTCTCTCTCTCTCTCTATTTCTCTGTGTGTGTGTGTACCAATGGTCTCTCTCTTTCTCTTTACCCTCCTACCGTTTCGAGACCACAGTTTACGTAAGATCGAGCTTACCCCCTCGAGCAGAGACAAGGCAAACAAGAAGACCTAAATATATATGCTCATACGTAACACGGTCATCCTTCGACAGAGACATTCGATTAGAGGCATACATTCTCTCTCTCTTCAAATACGATTCAGCACACACGGTAGTAGACTGCCGGGGCAGCAAGCCACGCACGAACGATACGGCGATACACATCTCCTTACTTAGTTCGAAATTTTACAAATTGGGATCGTACATTCCATAATTAATGAGGAACCATCGATACAATAATAATATTTACTTAGCAAAACGTGCCGATCGGTAGTGTGGCGAAGGACGCGTGATGTGTGAGCACAGTTAAACGCGTTTACGATGAGAGGGGGAGGGATGGGTGGGGGGAGATTTGATGATAACGATGATATTAGTGGTGGAAGGGGGTGTGATAAAGTTGGCGCAGGAGGATGTTGGTAGAAGGGAGAGGCGGGTTGTCTCCTTCGATTCAAAGTGGGAGGAGGCTCTGATGATGACCGGGGGGGCTAGAGGGGGGAGGGTTTGAACGTTTTCAAGGAAATTGCACGTCTGCTGCTTGCCAGGAGTTCAAGGTACACGCACTTTATAGGGATACACCATGGGAAAGACACTCAGGGCAGACACTGACATAGAGACTAGGCTACCGACTATATGTATACCTATCTAAACGTGTAATTAGCGTACGCACCGCGTACACCCGGTACGCCCGCACTCCGCCCGCCTTTCGGGTTGTGTTTATTTTTTGTTATTATTTTCATTTTATTTCAATAAGCAAAAGCACGTGTACACGTTCGTTACACGCGCTCCCGTCCCTCACTTTCCATTTGTCTTTCTCTCTCTCTCTCTCTCTCTCTCTCTCTTTCTCTCGCTCGCTCGCTCTCTCTCCTTCCCGCTCTTTTGTTCTCATTTTTTCCCTTTCTCTCTCTCTCTCTCTCTTCTATCTCCTCCCCATTTTTTCCTTTTTTGTTTAATTATTATTATCATCGTTTTATTACAATCAGCGATCGCGTCGTAGTCGTGCTTTTATAGTAAACGCTATGTAGTCTTTATTACTCAAGCTTATGCCCAAAAATCTACCAGAGGCACTTTGGGTTTATTAGTACCATTTGAAGTCGGCGTGCGCGGGGGAGGGCGCTGCGAGTCCTTTGTATTTATTTGTTTTCATTTTTTTGTTATTTTTTTTTTATTTATTTATTTTTTTGTCTTTAGCAAGTGAATACAGCGACTGAACGACGTGAGATTCCTTCGCTTATTTTCGCGTTTCTCGAGTTGACGGAGTACCCTGTCTGTGATCCATATCTTCGTCTTCCTTTTTATTCTTCTTCTGGTTCTTCGTGTTTCACGTACGTTCACCGCTTTAATTTACGCACCCATCCGTTCCCCCTCCCCCGTTCCTTTCCCGTAGCCTACCAACTCCGCATCTTTCCCTGCTGCCTTACCTTTCCACACACGGTCTTCCGATGTTTTTTGAGCAATAAATACTTTCTCCACTGACAACTGCACATTGAATTGACGCACGGGACACACTCACGCATACACGAACAATACACATTCGCTACCAGCCGCTCGCGTTGACAAGACACTCTCGAAGGTTTGCTCTTGATTCGAGCACCTTCGACGATATGAATTCTTTCGCGACAAGTCTCGATACTCGATCGAAACTAACCTACGCGGGATTTGAAAAGTCTTATCACGTGGCGAAACACCACAGTGTCGGGTTTCGATGTGCGTTTGTAAAAGTGGTACGTTGACCGTACGACGAACTTGGAAGAAACGATAGGCGATTCACGAAGATTCCTGGCGAAGGATTTTTCGAAAACGATGATGCCACTTCTTTTATTCTTTTTTCTTTCTTTCTTTTGATCCCTCTCTATATGTTTATAGGTTAAAACGAATGCACGATTCGACTCGTTTGAAAATGGCGCGCAGGTAAAATGCTCCTAGGACAAAGGGGGGTTTTTTTTTTGTTTCGAGTGCTGTCTACTGCGAACGGCTCCCGACCACACTCATCTGCATCAATTGTCTTAAACTTCCATCCATACCAATATGGCTACATCCACAGAGTTTAATGTTACGCTTTAATTAATGATTATCAATTCATATCAATTCAATATCAATGTATTACAATCAGACAATACTTAACAGTGATCGTTATTCATTATATATTACAATAATTAAGAGTGACAACAACATGACGACGGAGGCGTTGAAGCATTACAAGGGAGAAGAGAGAGTGGCACAATGTGATTTCCTAGGAATTATGAGGAAAGAGTAGAAGAGGCGCCGATAGTGGACATCTTTATTACATGTAATATAAAGAGAGGTAATGATGACACGAGGACAAGGGGGACCTTTTTTTCCGGTGAATATGAATAGCGCGACAATGATAAGGAGGTGAACATCGGGTGATGGATGCACGACGATGAGAACGAACGATTAATGATAAAATGGAACAATGAGCTGGAGACCAAGGAGGGGAAGCACGCACACTCAACACAACCGTCACATCGAGCTGGCCTCGCGCGCGGCCATAGTCCATAGATTAATACCTATTAACTAATACACAGTCTGCCTCCGATTTCGCGGATGACTCCTTCCTTTTTTTTTTTTTCGTTTTGGATGCATGTAAGTATAAATAATACGCGTAATGCATGGCGTACGTACAGTATGGCGACTTGCTCGATCGACGATCGATGGGCCAAAGCTCACGTTTACAAATTTGGACGAGAATTGTTGTTTTGCGACGCCACTCTATTTCCGTTATTTCTTTCAACCCTTTAAATTTTCATTCCCGTGCAACGATCAATCGTCGTGGGAGAAGTATTTCGGTGTCAGCGCCGATACTGTACGCGCGCGCACGTTCCTCGGATACTGCATATACATACACACATACTTTTGCGCCGGTATAAAGTGTATATCTGTACACATATACATACGACATACCATCCATGTATATATAATATACCCATATTGTTTAATTAATCATCGTTAATCGTTAATTATCTTATTTATTAAAATTCGTCAGTTCGTAATTCAAAAAAATTTCATTTAGTAGCGGTGGATGGAAATGTTTCTTCGTTAAAAATCGCCGATCCCCGATAAGCGGCGGCAAATATCGACCGTTTCTTTTTCATTTTTTTTTTCTTTTTTAAACACATTTACAAATTATCGGATCGATCGGCTGATTCGTTCACTCACTTATATCACTAATGTCCTATTATTTTTTCGTTCGTTTTAAAACCCTATCCGCCGTGTGATCGCGAGCATTGTGGATCGTCGCCACGACGATTTTATAGCGCGCGAAATCATTTCAGTTTTCATCTTGTGTGTGTGTGGCTGGTTGGCCGCCGGGCGGTGTGGGCGCACATCGACAATTCTATTACAATTAATCGTGATTTTGGTATCTTATGTACAATTATGCGTGGCAATGCGCTGCGTGAATAACGCTACACCTGCCAGCCAGCGGCCGAAATTCAGAAGACTTTGTCACAAAAACACTTCAGGTCCTCGTAAGACATTTTGCGACTTCCCCGTTCGAACATTTTACCGGTCCGTTGTGCAATTTTCTTCTTGTGTTTATTAATTCGCGTACTAAGCTGAGATAACTGGCTTGCACGAAAACCTGAGACGATCGATTACAAGATAGGCCAGTCCTCTTGGTGATTCCTTGAGAATACCTAACTGCGGTTGAGTATTCAGCAGGGTAACTCTTGGCGGGCAGGCTTTGTCATATGTTTCATAGAGTTCATGGTACATCAGGGGTTATCCGCCGCCATAATATTATGTACCTGTTCGAGCTTGTATGCCAATCTCTGTTTCTGCGAGAACTCGTCCTCCTCCAGAGTAACTATCAGTTGTTCGTTGTATTTATCCGCAAACCTGTACAACTCGTACAGAGCACAATTCGTGTTGAACTCTGCCGTGTGCAACTGTAAAGACAGAAGAAAAAGAAGAAAATGACAATGAATGATAATCCTAACAAGATTACGAATGAAATTCTTCAGGAAAGAGACACATACCCTAGACTCTTCGGCAAGCATGGCGTTCATGTCTTGATCGGATATGGCTGGCATCACTTTGATATCTGCGTAATAACGTTCTACCCACTCTTTGTACACTGGAATGTCCTTTGCGTAAAGTAGCTTAGAACTCGGCGAGTCCTTACCTAAAGAAAAACCAACGAAAGAATGTCTCGTTAAAATGTTGAAAAATTCCTCTTGAACCAGAATCGAAATAAAATCCTTGGGTAATACACACCTAATCTATGATCTGAAGTGGAACAGCTGTCCATGAATGTTTGCGCGACGACGGACAGACACGAGTCCACGATATTCGACTTGTGTATATCGAAAATGAAGTTAGGATTTTTAATGAGGTTCACCCAAAACCTCAGCGGAAGCGAGTTGCTCTTCCATGTGTGAACAACTTCAGGGTCGGATATGCCGTGTTGCAGTGCTTGGTCATCCATGAAGTCGAACATGTATTTAATCGCGAGAGGAAGAGCAGATCCTCGATGGGCAGTGCTAAAGATTGTTTCGAACAGATCGTCGACGAATTTCTGGAGGGTACCCTTCGTTGCTAGTAACCTCGTCAGATAGATCTCTGACACCATTTTATTACTACGATCCCCTTCCTTTCTCGCGTCGGAATCGTGGTGTTTGACAAGATGCCAACACTTCAATCCGCCGTCGTGATTCTGATTCAACGGTGACGTGGCGCGAGAGAGCGGAGGGCTTGCCGAACTGAATTTACTAAGGTTCAGGGTCTCGTACTTGTGCGATTTGTCCGTCTTCTCCGAGAGGATCGACAGATTGTAGATCGACGACTGTTTGGAAACTAAGTTGAGCGAGGCTCCGTCTGGTACCCTATAATGGTTCAGCGTGTTTCGTTTCTTCCATTCACCTTCCGTCTTTGTCGTGGAGTCTTCGTCGTAAAGGATCAATCTACCGGATGCTCCAGTTCGCCATTCTGTCGCAACAAAGATATACGCGTTAGGTTGAATGCTTCAATCGATACATACGTACGACGGTCCAGATGAAACTTTGAAACCCCTTACCAAGATCAAGATCATCCTTCTTGGGTCTTTTACTGTACGGTGTGGCTCTGTAGATGGTGTCCAATGCCTTCTCCTTCACTTGAGATATCGTGTCACAGTCGAGAACCTTGACTGGAACGTTCTCTGTGTTCGGATCCATTCCACCGACGAAGACCGTTTGTTGCGATATTGACACGTACACCGTCTAAAGAACGAAGAAAAATGTGAACGAGGAAGAAAGGAATTACAGAAATTTACGTATCGGAATAAACGTTCTTACCATTGGTTTGAAATCAATGGACTGTCTAATCAGCTTCTCTTCTGACAACGAATATCGTGCTTCGGATGTAATAGCATCGACAGGACCCTTGTCAACTTGCTGCTTCACTGCACGGAACAGTACGTACAAGGGTTCTCCAGCACACTCTCGCATGAACTTGTAGAGTAGGAAAGTGAACCAAGCTGACAACATCTTCTCAGCGACGCTTTCCGTTCTGAAATGCAGATGAAACGACATAAGTACCGTTCTACGAACGACAAATCTCCAACGATTAACCGTCGAAATATTGCTTCGAAAGAAGATCGAACTCACCTTCTAAGGAACAGCTTCGGATGACTCTTTCCTTCCGTACATTTCTCTATCAATTCCGCTAAAAGAGTCTTCAAAATATCCGTGCAGTATTCCATCTTGCTCTGAAGCGTGACCATGATAAGACTAGCCACGACAACTCTCTCCCTCATCGTGAAATACCGGTTGCTCTCTAGGGTCCTCACGAAGAGAAGCAAGAAAGTCTTATTCATGATCAACTGTCCAAACAATCGCAGTCCTTTCTCCTTTCTCGTTAATTCCGGTCGATCCCATTGCAACACCGGCGTGTTATCGTCGCTCGGGAACAGTATCATCATGGCGTAAGTTCGATAATCCAAGAAAGGAATACCTCCGCTGGTCAAATCGCCCGTGAGATCTGTCATCTCGGTTTGCAGTTCGGCGAAGGCCTCTTTACACTCGGCGGCGACACGAAGCTCTAGAATGTCCATTTGCTCCTGCATATTCTTCAACACGCGATTGCTCTCCGTGGATTTGCGTCGGTACGCGATCAGGAAGGCGATGAACACGACAACCAGGATGACTATGGCAGCGATCACTCCGATCAAAGCTGGCTTGGACAGCGGTCCGTTCGGACCAGCTGCCGGGGCGTAGCTCAGTTTTCCAATGTTGTAACGAAGCCTACCGCCAACGATCACGATAACCTCGGGTAACTCCTGTTTATTCGGGAAACCGAGCGAGTCTATAGCCGGCGGTTGTGTCAGAGGTGGTCTGCAGGTGAGCTGTTGTCTCGAGAGAGAAGTGACGTTGCAGAAAGCGTTACCAATCTGTACAGTCACGTCGGATTCCTGGCAGGCACGGTCGAGGTGTTGCCCGTTGATGGTCAGATAGTCGCTCTTGTAGTACTTGATCTCCTCGTCGAACACCTCGTATATGGGATTCGGATAGAGGAGAAAATCGTTGAAACCCTGTTGCGACAAATTCTGCACGCCTGTCACGTTGTCCATACGAAAACCGTACTCCAACGGCACCGGTTTCTCCGCGTCCAGGACAACGTGTTCGGGAACCTCGATGGTCGGCGACTTGCAGTACATACTTTCTTGGCTGTGCACCTCGCACTGCGACACGAACATCTTCTCGTCGTAGTACACGTACATCTGCGGGCTCTGGATGTAGCCCAAGTTCTTTCCAGTCACCGAGATCTTTATTCCACCCGCTGGAATGCCTTTAGGGATCTTCATTTGACCAGCGACACCGCTCTCCACGCTTTCTATCGTCGGATCGTCCGCGTACTCGAAGTAACCGTCGTAGATCCGAGACGCGCCGTCGAACGTCATTCGAACTTCGCCGTTCGTCTTCCGGTTACTCGCGCTGGTCATGCAGAGCGCCTCGTTGATCTCCGCGCTGATTATCGAGCATGGCAGACGATCGATGAACGCTTTAATTGTGCTGCCGGCGTTCATGTAATTTCCGGTAATCCTCACGGTGGTACCACCGCTCATCGGACCGTATTTCGGCGATATAGAGGTGATCTGAGGATCCACGAACTCGAAGTTGTACTCTGACTGACCCCTGAAGTCCTCGATCATCACTATAACCGGTCCACGTTTTTTCGCCCACTTCTCTGTACCTGGACCGTCGACTCGGCAGACGATCTGCTTGGTGCGCATGTAGAGCTCTTCGTACGGTAGACATCTCATTCCACCGACCATTACGCCGCTGTAGATGTCCTGTAATAGAAACAATCTACGTTAGAAGTCTGTGTCCCAAAGGAAATCATGTTTCTACCACTGTCTTTTCAATTACTCGACGAAGTAGACCAATTTCTCTTACCTTGAACGTCTGACCCAAGTTGATGCCGCGTATTGTCACGTTGGTGTTACCTTCCCAGGGTCCCATGACCGGCT